GTGATGAGGTGATGAAGTGATGAAGTGATGAGGTGATGAGGTGATGAAGTGATGAGGTGATGAAGTGATGAGGTGATGAAGTGATGAGGTGATGAGGTGATGAAGTGAGCGAGTTCTTCCTCAGAGCGCGGTCGTCAGTGGCTCATCTGTGAAGGCTTCCAGTTCATCCTGATGAACCAGGCCGACGCCCTCGTCACGCTGGGAGTCAGTCCCGGGTTCAAGGTCTGCTCTTATTGTCTATTGTCTATTGTTCTTCTGAATGACTCCAGCTGATGAGTCCTGTTGTTTCAGGACCAGGTTCTGTGTCAGCTGTGGAGGATCTACCTGCAGAAGAGCCGGCAGGCGTACGTCAGCAACCCGACGAGGACGAGCCGGTTCAGAGTGGTGAGTTCACCACACACACACCTGAGCATCTTATTATTATTATTATTATTACTGTTATTATTATTAATATTAATATTAATATTGTTGTTATTGGTAGTAATATTATTGCTCTTAATATTATTGTATTATTAATATTATTTTATTGTTGCTGTTATTATTATTTATTATATATATATACATATATGATATTTCTATTTTCTTAATCTTACATTCCATTAGAGTAGCATTATTATATCATAATATTATCCTCTCTGTCTTGTCTGTTAATGATGATCTCATATAAAGTGTGTTGAGCTTTATAATGTTCATCCAGATCTCTCTGAGTTATTGATTGATTGATTGATGGCGAGCAGCTTGTGTCTGATGTCTGCGTGTTATTGATCTGAACATGGAGTCAGTGGGACGTGAACCTTCTCTCCTCAGAGAGGTCCTGACTCGGACTCGGCCGAGGCGTCCGTCATGACGGCCAGTGAGACGGACGGAGACACGAACCCCCCGAGCACCGCCGGCTCACACGCAGGTACGCTCAACATGTGTTATTACTACATACCGTCACTTAAAGCGTTTCATACTCTGGGGTTCCAAAATGAAATTAATCATCTTTTTAGTTTTAGGTTTAAAATCAGAGCAGCTGCTCATGTTTTTATGGAGAAACAAGATTTAAGTGTTTTATTCTTTAAGCATCAGATTTGTGAAATGAAAAGAAACCATTTATTTTACAGAATCACGTATTAAATATTCAGAACTCTTAGTTATCATCTGAACTACATGATGTTAAATGATTTCACCTGATGTCTGCAGGTTCATTAATAATTGCAACGTACTTTAATGTTCGTGGTGAAAAGAGCATCTTCAGTTTCATTTGTTTGAGTGAAATCAGCGCGTTTGTACGATTCGTTCAGTAGCAACATGTGACCACAGGGAGCTCCAGTGATTGGTCGATGTGTTCGGGCTCTTTGGACGCCGCCAGCTACCTGACGGGTCGGTTGAGGAGGAGTCGACACAGTCTGATGAGCATGAAGAAGACTTTGGCTCTGATCCACCTGGCTCTGGTCTGGACCCGCCAACCACTGACGCTCAGCGACCTGCTCAGGTAACAACACACACACACACACACACACACAC